GAACAACGGCGCAGCTGTACATAAAATATTACAATCCATACAATATAATGGGAGACATTTCAGAGTTCAAAAGAGGACAAATTGTTGGCACGTCTCGCTGGTGCATCTATGGCCAGGACAGTCTTTGTGACGTATCGAGAGCCACGGTATCCATGGTAACGTCGACATACCACCATGAAGGACGGACCACATCCAACATTAGTAAATGGACACAAGAGGAAGCTGTCTGACAGGGACGTCCGGGTACTAACCCAGATTGTATCCAAAAAACATAAAACCACAGCCGTCCAACTCACTGCATAATTAAATGCACACCTCAACTATCCTGTTTTCACCAAAACAGTTCGTCAAGAGCTCCACAGGGTCAAGGCTACTATAGCTAAAACTCCGGTCACTCGTGCCAATGCCAAATATTGGTTTCAATGGCACCAGCAGCACCCAATCTTGGACTGTGTACAACGTGAAACATGTATTGTTCTCTGATGAGTCCACCTTCACTGTCTTTCCTACAGTTACAGTGTGGAAAAGCCCCAATGAGGGTTACCGCACGGACTGCTGCATACCCAGAGTGCAGCACGGGGGGACCAGTGATGGTCTGCACTGCAATATCATGGCATTCCCTAAGCCCACGACTTGTTCTAGATGTGTGTCACTGCCAAGGACAACTAAACCATTCTGGAGGACCATGTTCGCCCAGTGGTGCAAACAATGTACCCTGAAGGTAGTGCTGTGTATTGGGATGATAATGCACCAATAGACACAGCAAGACTGGTGAACATGAAAGTGAAGCTGAACATCTCCCATGGCCTACACAGTCATCAGATCTGAATATTGTTGAGCCACTTTGGGATGTGTTGGAGGAGCGAGTCAGGAGACCTGACCGAGAGGAATGGCTCAAAGATCCTCTGGTCACTTGTTACTTTGTTAGGCTCCAACCCTAGACTGGAGCGTAACACCACTGTGCAGGACTTGTGTCTGTCATTCCCAAGACAGATTGATGCTGTATTGGCTGCAAAAGGAAGCTCTACAATGTACTAATAAGCTATTGTGGTCTAAAACCAAGTGTTTCCGATTCATTATCCAACCCCTTATACAACAAACATTTAAAAACAATTAAGGGGGGAGCAGTATCATTGCAGGCATCACTTAGGCACCAGCACCATTTTAAAAGTGTCATTTTAGCAGCAGTATCAGGAAAAACCCAAACCTACCAATTACATCGGGGCCTGTAGCCATTCTAAGCGTAATTGGCATCATTGAAAATATCACAAGGTTTATGAAACTTTACAGAAATCACAATTTATGTAATATAATTTAATAAATGAATGTCAGAAAGAGCTCTATTTAGCCTTGATTTTTCATATTTTTACATTGTGATTTTATATCCTCATATACCTTCAGTATGTTCACTCATAATAAAATATCGTTCTATCCATCATCTTTCCCAGGTTGAGCTTGCAGAGAGGACCAAGAGCTTATGATAAACAACTAGGCCGGGTTATACCCCAAATGGGACTCTAGTACAGTCGGCCGGGCTATACCCCAAATGGGACTCCAGTAGTTGGCCGGGCTATACCCCAAATGGGACTCTAGTACAGTCGGCCAGGCTATACCCCAAATGGGACTCTAGTACAGTCGGCTGGGCTATACCCCAAATGGGACTCCAGTAGTCGGCTGGGCTCTACCCCAAATGGGACTCTAGTACAGCCGGCCGGGCTATACCCCAAATGGGACTCCAGTAGTCGGCCAGGCTATACCCCAAATGGGACTCCAGTAGTCGGCTGGGCTGTACCCGAAATGGGACTCCAGTAGTCGGCTGGGCTGTACCCGAAACGGGACTCCAGTAGTCGGCCGGGCTATACCCCAAATGGGACTCCAGTAGTCGGCTGGGCTGTACCCGAAATGGGACTCCAGTAGTCGGCTGGGCTATACCCCAAATGTACAGTACAGTACAGTTGGTCCAGTACAGTTGGTCCACCATGAGCTGTTTAGAGACACCGCTTCAGCTATCTGCACGTCTTTTAAAGCAAGCGAGAAAACACTCACACTAGGATAGCATGAAAACAGCTACGCTTTACTTTAGGGGACACTAATACTTAATAATAACTCAGTTACTACTGATGTACAATGATGCACATATTTTTTCATTTTTATATTAAATATAGCTACTTGAGATAAATGATGTGTCAATTCAATAATGAGCAACAAACATGAGATCCGTATTTCACTTGTATTATTCATTATTTGTTCACAGGTTTATAGAAATGAACAGATATTGTAACAGATATAGTAACAAAAACAAAAACTGCTTGATATAAAATATGTCACGATTTGTTAACAGTGAACAAACATGAGATCAGCATGTAGGTAAGACTTAGTTGGTGGTTAATTAATACATAAGTAATAGCATAATACTGCATTATTTGAGCCCCCACCAAGTAAAGTGTTACCGATGCAAACTCCACACACACAAGTGGGTTTCAAGCTCCTTATTCTGTAGGCAGTTACCCCAGGCTACCCTGCTATCATACCAGAGAGTTTAACACAGTTATGCTTTATCCTGAAATTACGTCACAGCCCCTGGTCTCAGATTTCAGATATTTTTATGCAGTTCAGGGGGTGTTTACACTGTGCATTTGATTATATGTTCCCCAGTGAACTTGGTTAAAAGTGCCACCACATCATTATAAAGCCACAAATGTAAAGATGCTGACTTACATACCCATCCTAATGTTGTTAAAATAAGTAGCCGTTGGTGTTTGTCCAGACCTGCTGGCCCACCCAAGGAGACCAGGGATCAAAATGGCCACGTTAGCGTATAACATCTAAACGCCAGAAATGTAGAGGCCTGTGTAACATACAGAGCTAAGCCTGGTGTGTTTGAAAAGAAAAAAAATCACATTTGTGCCTCAGGAGACCTAATGTACAGTATAGGTTACTGAAATAACATGCTGTGTTTATTTTAACCATGGCAGCACACTGACAAGTCGTTGACCGAGGCTTTGAAGTGTTTGGAAGCCAGGTGACAGATGGCTAATATTGCCAGGTTGTGTCTCTCTAGTCACCTCTTCAGGCCTCTGCGCCA